TGGAATAAATACCGCAGGCTGCACCGTGAACCCCTGTGATCTGTGTTTTAAATTTGGCCATGCAATAATAAATGGTTTGGCAATGTAGAATGTGTGTTTAGATATTACAGATTTTCCTCATAACTCTAGAAAGGTTAATGTCAGTAACAGATACAGTAATAATATTCACCTATTACAGCTCTTTATATTTCAGAACGCTGTACAAAGTGGCAATAGTAAAATCATTCCTATTAAAATAACCTGGAAAGTCTTTCTGTATAAATAATCTTAAAATGTAGTTAGCAAAAGAGACAGCGTTGTTGAATCTGAATTAAATAACTTATTTACAAATATTATTTGGAACCAAAACGGTTCAGTGTAGTACAATTTTTGGAGGGAGAATAAAAAGCAACCAGGCAACAAAACAGTGACATTGAAACTGTTTGAGCAAGTTTCCTTCAGTTTTACTGGCTTGTGAATTTATTAGCTTTCTGTTCTTGTCTACACAGCTTTTGGAATAAATGTCTGTATTTCTAATGGAAATAAGCAATCTGAGATAACTATTGACTGTTTCCTTGTTACAGATGACAAGACCTTTTAAATGTCTTTTTCTGCCCCCCAAGGTCACTTTCTGTTAAAAATAAATAACTTTTTAGTTATATTGGTTTATTACTTTTTTTTTGTGATATTGATGTTTCTGTTAAAGCTTCCATAACCTATAACAAGTTCATTTTTTATACTTATCTCAGGGAGATGATATTAATTTCTCTTTATTCTTATAGGTAGTAAAGTTGCATACAAAACTTGGCAAGCCCATTCCTTCAACTGAACCAAATGCGATTGCCCAAGCTACTTCCTCAACATCTACATCTGTTTCCAAACCTATTGCCTCAGCTTCAAATATAGTAACTAGCAGCAGTACTGTGAACTCCTCTGTTGCATCCTCTGCAGTGAAAATACTTACTCCCATGGGAAACATACCACTTAATATGGCATCCAACAATAAAACATCTTCAACCGCTGCTAATATAGCTGTAAAGAAAATATCTACACCAAAAATAAACTTTGTTGGCAAGTACAGAAGTCAGTCTTTATTTTGCAATATAACCTATTCTATATTTTTAAAGATCTTACTGCAACAAATAAAAATGTATTTGTACTAATGGATGAATAACTGTTGTGTTTAAAAGAATTATTGATAGGTGAAAATAAGAATGTGTATAAAAGTTTTGCTTCACAATTTTTGGTGTTATCTCCACCTGATCTCTCTTGGAGGCTTCTCTCACCTTCATAAGAAGCTTCCCACCTTTAGTTTCTAATGTAGTAGCCATTGGAGTATTTCGGTTTATAGTCCAGTTGATTCTAATTTGGCAGCCTGCAGTAGGTTGGCAGTTAATAACTTGGCAACTGAAACATCCTTGTAACAGTGGAAACTTTTGAAATAAGCATGACAGATATTTATGAGATGGAAACAGTTGTGCAACACTGAGATTATACCTTTGTTGGTACAAACATAAGGTTTTGAAGTATTTTTTTTGATCCATTTACAAGCAAAAAAATAAATGTATGACAGAGAGATGATTAATATATATTTGCTGAGTTGTTCCCATTCAGTTTGACCTCTTTGGAAAAATCATAGAAATTATTATGAAAATTGCAACTAAATAAAGCAAAAGTTTTTCTTATTAAAATAAAAAACTAAGTGTTTAAATAACTTGTTGTTAAACTTAATTTAAAAAATACCTTTATTTGTATTTAAAATATGTTTAAGTTTTAACTAATTTTAAAAGACTGATAATGCTTTGGCCAGAACATTGATACTTGCAAAGTGTCTTCAGTTTGCACATCATGTGTAATCATATTCCCATTTTATAAAATTTAGTGATGTAACTTTTTTTATTTGTAGGTGGTAATAAGCTTCAGACAACAGAAAATAAACTGGAAGAAATAAAATCAGCTGAAAGCACTAAAATAACAACTGCTACTACAGTACAAACACAGGAAATAAAACCAGACACAGCAGCTGAACCAGTGACTCCTACAACTCTTGCTGCCTTGCAAAGTGATGTCCAGCCAGTGGGCCATGACTATGTGGAGGAGGTATTGATATGAAAATGTGGATTATTTTTTTAAACTATTTTAATGAAAATTTATTCAGGTGTCAGTAACAGCAATGCAAATATATGGTCTGTATCTACTTCATTACTCATTTGCAAATGATGGACAACTTGATGCCTATACTACTTCCTTCATTATCAAAACATTGATTTTATTTAAGTCTAGTTAACAGTCATGTTCGCAATGACAATGCAAGACAAAGAACTGAGCTTGAGATGTTACAGGATGCCATTTGCCACCTTTGCTGCAAGGGGACATTGTTGGCTCAAGTTCAACTTGGCATTCACCAGGACCCCTCCAGGTCCTTTTCTGCCAATCTGCTTTTCAGCTGGGCAGCCTCCAGCATATATTGGTGCATGGGATTGTTCCTCCTCAGGTGCTGGACTTTGTGCTTTCCCCTGTTGAACTTCACAAGGTTCCTGTCAGCCCATTTCTCCAGCCTGTTGAGATCTCTAGATGGCAGTGCAACCTTCCGGCACATCAGCCACTGCTCCCAGTTTTGCATCACCAGCAAACTTGCTGGGGGTACACTCTGCCCCATCACCCAGATCATTAATGAAGATGTTAAACAAGACTGGTCCCAGTATTTACCCCTGGTATTTACTAGCCTCCAACTAGGTTTTATTCTACTGATCACCACCCTTTGGACCTTTTCATTTGACCAGCTTTCGATCTACCTCACTGTATGATTATCCAGCCCATACATCAACAGCTTGTCTGTGAGGATATGGGACACTGTCAAAGGCCTTATTGAAGTCCAGGTAGACAATATCAGCTGCTCTCCCCTCATCTACCAGGCCAGTCATTTCATCACAGAAGCTTATCAAGTTGATCAAGCATGACTTCCCCTTGGTGAAGCCATGCTGACTAGTGTCGATGATTTTCTTGTCCTTAACGTGCCTGGAAATGGTTTCCAGGATTAGCTGCTCCATCATCTTCCCAGGGATCAAGGTGACGATGACTGGCCTGTAGTTCCCTCGGTTTTCCTTGAAGAGTGACAAGGCATCAAACCTGCAAAGGCTTGTACATATGTTTACACTTTTTTATTGTGCATGTTTCTTTTATGCTCAGTGGGGTATTCTTCATTTGGATGGCATGAAATATGTGGATGAAGTCTGATGTAATTTTTTCATAATTTGTAGGTTTGTAATTATTCAACTTAGTATGTTCAGGCTCATTTTTAAAGCTGTGTACTCTGGAATAGAAGGACTTTGTTCTTTGTTCATTGCCAAATATGATGGTGTGTCTGTTAGAACCTAAAGTTCTAGTTTACCTTCTTTCAGTTACTTTGTGAACTTTTTAAGATGTTCTGAGATGGGTAGACATCCAGTGTCATTGAATTAGATTAATTTTTACATCAACTTTGTTGTTTTTCTTTAAATTAAAAAAAGCCAACTGTGTTATAACTTTGTTTTCCAGGTAAGAAATGATGAAGGAAAGGTGATCCGCTTTCACTGTAAACTTTGTGAATGCAGTTTTAATGATCCTAATGCCAAGGAGATGCACTTAAAAGGGAGGCGGCACAGACTTCAGTATAAGGTTAGTAGAAATGCTCATGCTTCTTGTCTGAAGATCCACCAGATGTCACCTGACAGATTACATATTTTTATATTTAAAGACTAGTCAAAAGTAGGTACTCTGAATAAACAGCATATAAAAAAACTAGAGAAATATGTTTATTAGCGAGTATAGTCTTTAAAATAGTAATGCAGAATGTGAAACAGCATTTTGGTTTGGGTTTCTTCTTTTTTAAACATTTTGAACATTGCAACATTAAAATATTGTACAGCATATGCAAGCAAAAGTAGGTGCTTTATGTGGTTAACCATTAATTTCCAATAGTATAAAATAGTAGTGCTCAATGTTTTTGGCAGGATAAATCACATAAACCCTTTGTGGAGACATTTGAGAAACAAATGTTGCAGACTTTTAGTCATGAATGGAGAGACACCTATACTGTGACATAAGCTATGCATTTTGATTATTATAAGATTATATAGGAAAAATCTACTGTGGTCACAGGAGATACAGTGGGCCTGCATAATCATAAACGGGATGAAATAAGAGAAAAAATTGTGAGAAAAATGTATTCAGTAACTCATGATTATACCCCTGTATGAGGGAGCCTTCAGGAATAGGGCATCAGGAAACACACTGTAGTTGAGATTAAATGGGGGTTTTTTTTGGGCTATAGAGTAGTTGTTCTGCTATAGAATGAACAGCAAATTACTTAGTATTTCATGTAACATTTTAATCTTAAATTGCTTTGTTCTCATATAGTTGAAGAGGGAATTAATGCTATTTGTAATATGTTGCTATTTCTTTCCTTTACTGGACACAGGGTGTTTTTTTCTTCAACTATTAATTCAATGCAGTTCTAAAACTGCATTTTACTCCCCTTGATTTTATCATAGACCAGTAGCGTGTCTTAAACATGTCAGAACAATTCTGTATCCTTGAGATTACAAGAGGCAAACCAACATTTCATTATTTTTCTGAACTAGAAAAAAGTAAACCCAGATTTACAAGTAGAAGTAAAGCCCAGTATTCGAGCAAGAAAAATTCAAGAAGAGAAGATGAGGAAACAGATGCAGAAGGAAGAATACTGGAGAAGGCGAGAAGAGGAAGAACGCTGGCGGATGGAAATGAGGTAATGTGTTCTGTTTTATCAGTGAATGAGACAAAGCTGCAGTCAGATTATCTAAAACTAACTCTGTTTCTGTAATTACTTGCGGCAGAGCAAGGGACTGGGACGCCATGATGGTCACAAGTAACAGCCTTTATTAATAGGTTGCATCGCATTCTTATACCTTTTTCTACTGTCCACGCGCCTTACGCTTCCTTCCCATTGGTTAATAGCTTCTGTTCATGCATTCTATCTTACTTTGTGATAGGTTACAAGTTTCTTACATTTTCTTACAAGAATGTCAACACGCATCCCTATCTCTCTCATACCTTCTTTTCCCACAAACATGTTTTTCTCTAACTGCCAAGGGCACAGCTGTAGTTTGTTAAAATCAAGGCCACTTGGGGCCCGTAGCTGATGCCCACAATTACTTATTTTGAATACTTGTTTTGGGAACTCTGTACTGTTTTGTTTTAAATTATATTTGTTTGTTAGTGTTCAATCCCTCTGAGGAATGTAGACTTAATAGAAGTATTTGCTTATAAATTCAGGCCCACTTTCAAAATAATCATTCATTTTAGTTACCCTCTGGAGTTCACTGGTATTTACTCATGACTACTAGAAATGAGTTAGTAAGAACATCCAAGAAGTTATTTAGAATGATTGGAAGTATTAACTGCTTGTCACAGGCCAGTATTGGGGGACTACCGGCTGTCAGGATGTTTTCGCGACTTCCCCCCCTAATGTGGAGAGGTTTGTGA